TTTGTGGAGCACTAAATACTTAATATACTGGCAGTCTACTATATTACATTCCGAGTTGTTGTATTTATCGTTGGAAGTCGCATAACTAACTATAAAGAGATATGTTATAAATATATATTTTTGCCAACTGTATTGTAGATATCATTTATATACACGTTGAAAATTCCAGGCATGAATTGAATTGAAATTGAAATGAAAACTAAATTGAAATTGGTGTTATATGCATAGATAAGGCATAAAGAGAAGATTATAAATCAATATTAGTTTCGTTTGTTGCATTTAAATTGAAAATGTTAAATGTTTACCCTATTTTTGTTGAATAAGGGCTTAATTATTTAACCAACACCTGCCGAACGTACTCACAAAAGCACCAAATAACTAATAATTATATACGTATTTATGTTGCGCGATATGAACAAATTAAACAAACATATAAATATAATAAAGTATTTAATTAAATTTAAACTATGTTTAAACGTATGTAGCCGGTACTAGTCAAATTATGAAATAAACAAAATGTAGTAGCCAAAAGTATTAACAGAGAACATGAAACAACTAAAATGAACATAACTACATAAATAATTGTTTTGTTAGTTGCAGTTAAAGCTTTAGCCACGCAATGCTCTAACTAAATACAAACCTTGGCTCAAGAAGAGCATAATAAAAAACTATTAAATGAAACTAAACTCTTTCATGTGAAGATACTTACCTTATACATACTATGTTGATATCTACAATGAGTTGAACTGTACAACTTTAGACTTTATTTGGTTAAAGGAAAAACCACACACACACACACACACACTCACACAAATGCAAACATATGCGAAAAGAATATCAAAGAAAAAGGCAAATGCAAATGCTATATTTAAATGTTAATGTTACACAAAATGTGCAAATTGTATAAATGTTTAATCATCCAAACGCAAAGCAAATCAATAAATATGATATATAAATATATAAACAAGAAGTTTAGCTGTTTACTAGATATTTAAAAAACTTGAGTAGAACTTTATTTTATTTACTATTTAAACAAAAAACTTAACACTTAATTTATGTTTTCTATTAGCAATATTAATGAGCATTTCTGATGTCGAAAAGTCTAGCAAAGGTTTTTTTTTATGGAATACAAATCAAGTTGAAATAGAAAACATGAATATTAATAATTTATCAAAATTTAATTGGAATTATTTAAACATTTTCTAGTTTCTAACTTGTAATCAAAACGGAAAACGTAATACTTAAACACATATATAGTCTAGGCCTTAATCTACAACTATTTAGCTAGAGAGGAAGCATTGGATAAAGGCTTGTGATATGGAGACGTCTAGCAGAGATCTTTGCCTGCCTAATGAATAGTCAATCTGTTGGGCCATCTAGAACCACTTGGGTATCGCATCATTGGGCAGATTCTTATGATTCGGCAGCGCTGTGCAGGGCCTCTGCTGGCGCCAGAACTCCTGCCGCTTGTTGAGGAAGCAAACGGCCTCTTTGGCCAGGGCTGAGATATTCTCCGTGTTGGTGTCGGCGCGTATCAGATCCGGATGCAGCAGCAGCTTCTCCAGGTACTCCTTGTCCACGCACAGCTCGCCCAGCAGCTTGCGTGCATTGCGCCGTTCCAGATCCGCCTTGGTGGCCCGCTGGCGTCCGGGCTGCGACAGCGACTGGGACTTGGGCGTGTTGTCGCCCGATATGCGTGAGACGCCGCTCTTGGCCGTGGCCGGCGGCTGATTGGCGCGCGTCTTGGTGCCAATGGTGTTCTCAATGGCCTCCTGGGTCTTCTGCACGCCCAGGCGAAACAGCGCGAGCTCCGGCCGTGCGCGCAGGCCGCGATGGAAGAACATCAGACTCTGCTCGAACTGGCCGAGGTAGTAGAGCGACTCGGCCTTTTGGTAGATGGCGCGTATGTTGTTCTTGTCCTCAGCGAGCGCCGTCTCCGCGTCCTGCAGCGCCTTCGATGCCTCGCCCAGCAGCAAATAGCATTTGCTGCGCGAGATTAGGGCATTGATATCCGTGTTATTCAGCTCCAGTGCCTGTGAATTAAGAGAAACTCCAATTAATGCAAATATTTAAATTTAGTCTCTTTCACTATATAGATATATCTGTCTGCTCTTTCGACCTTGCAAAAGAAATGTATGGCATTCTCGGGATTCGCATTTTTGATCTCCTTCAAGCCGAGCGCAATGATCGAGCTGATGTCGGCCTCGTCGGGTATGAGCAGCGCCTCGTTGCGATCCTGTTTCTGTTTGATCTGCAGACTCTGCTTGATGTCGAAGGCGCCCGCACTGACCGCCGCCGCCCGATCCTTGTCCGTGTAGAAGTCCACGAAGTTCTCCTTGGGCTTCTTTTTCTTCAGCATCTGCTCCTCGATGCGTTTGCGTGCCGCGCGCAGCTCGGCCTCGATGCGATTGCCGCGCTTGGAGCCGCCAGCATCCAAATCATCCGGATGCTTGCTAGTTCGCCGGGCGGCACGATCTGAGGCGGATTTGCCAGCACCGCCGGCACCGCCGCCGCCGCCATACGAGTCGCGTCTCTCCCAGATGGGCGGCTTGTGGGAGGCACGACTGCGACCCTTTGACCTTTTGTTCGACTCATCCAATGACTCCTCCTCTGCCGTGGCGCCAGTGCGTATAAAGCTCTGCAGCAGCTCCTGCTCCTTGTCCACGGCCAGAATCGTGTTCAGCACACTCGTGGACATGGTCACAGAAATGAATCCGTTGCCAATCAATTGAACAGCTCGAAGCGCAGTGCAAGTGTGAAAAATTCACACCTTTCCTGACAGTTCCAAACAAACGGTAATTGATTTGCCATTTGCCCAGTTGCCAGGAAACTAAGGCCAGCCCTAAATATGGGCTAACAATCGATAGCAAAACAAATACCAACAAATGCCAACATTGATGACATTGAAATGATTTTTGATTATCAACGTATATACATACATACATACATATATGTATATGATAGGAGTGTATATATATTTATCAAGACAGCTTCGCTATTATTCTGATTTCAATAATTTCATCTAGATACAGTTTGGAAATGTGCAAAGTTGATTATCTCGAGTGATAACCAATCCAATCTGAATAATTATCATTAACTCTCAAATCATTGGAGCCTCGGAACATGGAAATACCGTTGAAGTAGCAGCGGTTAACTGACATTAATTTTGACGGACTAACATACATACAGTGAATAAGATAAATAAGATGAATTAGCTTACTATTTTCTTCGTGATACTGTTTAACATATACATATATTTTATTTATAAAATTCATAAATACATCACGCTGAAAATAAGAGCTATGTATATACACTATAATTTATATGTTGCCTATCAATTTATAATGTTTTATTTATGTAAGCCAAACCAATTGGATTACTCCAGCCATATATTATATATATTGTGATTTTCACTTCCAATCTATAGAGTATGGCTTTGTCGGCACATCCTCTTTAAGTCCCATCGTTTAAGGAATTTCCCAATTGGCAGTTAAGGCATTCAAAGCTCACGCCAAACAGTTGCAGCGCGCGCAAATAAGCTTTTTCCCCAATATTTACTAGCGCCATCTACAGTTCGTTTCAATTTATAGACGTTGCATTTGAAATATTGAGCATATTAAAAGCGATTGCTGTTCACTTACCTTATTGTAGCCTTTTAGCGCTTTATAATATTCACGCACTTTCATATGATTATTGGACTGATCGCAGAGCAATTTAATTGTGGTTTCAATTTCCTCAAGTGTATCCACTTTTTGCTTTTTTCGAGGCATTTTTCAAACGTCTTAAAATTAAAATATTGAAAAAGACAAAATTGTTATGGATTTTTT